CATTTTTAAAAAAGGCAGGCCCGCCAGGAACCGAACCCACGACCTTCTGATCCGCAGACGAACGTCTAGCCGCTAGACCACGGCGGTCTCCCATACGGAACAGAGGGGTGTAAAAAACCAGAATCAAATAATCAGCCATCCTAGGTTCTATCTGTACAGCGAACGGACCACCCCCCCCCCCCCCCACCCCACCCCATAATTGCGCCTGTGCCAATCGCGCAGAATTCCCATCGCTGTCTTTGGTAAAAAAAAAAAAAATGTCTGCAGCCTCAACTAAGCCATTAGGATACAAACGCCTTAAATGCATAAAGCAGTCGTCAGAAATACCCGCACAAACAGTCTGGCACTAGAACTACAGGTCATTGTCGGGGCAAGCAGCTTTTACAACAAATCAGTACTTGCACATACAAGGCACCACCACTTTTCTGGCAATAGGCCACTCGTCCTTTTTTTTTAAAGAAAAACATTTCACAACAAAAACCATGTAGGGCAGAGTCGAAAAGCAGTCACAATGAAATTAACAGCTCACAGTGTCGCGTCATGAACTTCACAGCTCACAGTGTCGCGTCATAAACTTCACAGCTCACAGTGTTACGTCATAAACTTCACAGCTCACAGTGTCGCGTCATGAACTTCACAGCTCACAGTGACGCGTCATGAACTTCACAGCTCACAGTGTCGCGTCATGAACTTCGCGTGTGTGTGTGAGAGAGAGAGAGAGAGAGAGAGCGTTTTAGGAGGTGCGAGCGAGCGAGAGAGAGAGAGAGAGAGAGAGAGAGAGTGAGAGAGAGAGAGAGAGAGAGAGAGAGAGGAGAGAGAGATCGTGAACTAAGAAACATGACAAATGGCAGCTTGAAATATTTGCCAGCTATTCAGTTACATTAACTTTACGAACCGTTGAGTGGCTGGCCATAGGAAAATTATTACAATAATGCATTTTTGATGTAGATATAAAGTGACTGGTTTGAACAGCAATGTTTATTGTAATGTATACATTAAATCAGAAGTTTACACCATTTACTTGCTTGTGTTCGTGTTTGCGCATGCGTGTCGCAGCAAATAATAATTAAAAAGAATGCGGTTGACTAAAGAAACTAAAGGAGCGTGGGAGGAGAACTGGGGGGGGGGGGGGGGGGGGGGAGAGACAACAAGATGTCCTTCACTGCCCGATTTGAAAATTTGAAAACTAGAGAAAAACTTGTCAATCCCAGCCAAATTGTGATGCTTGCATACGCAAAGCAAAAATGCATAAGGCAGCTGTCGGATGTGCTAACACTAACGGTCAGTATACCAGAATTGCAGCTCACTGTTGGCACCCATGAAAGCCGGCATTTACCTGCAAAAAACATTTACACGCCATTCTGAACACAATTGGCCAGTCGACATTTCAGAACGGTCAACAAACACTTTGGGTACAGTTTGGGCATAACCAAATGTGAGATAAAAAATTCGCGAAGATGCGGAGGCTTTCCGACAAGGAGGCTCTGGTAAGGAACTGCCACATGATCGATGATAGGATGAGGCTGCTGACGAGACGATGACTCGAGGAAATCGTCTTAAGATGTCTATGAGGAGTAAATAAACTTGAAAACTAATTGA